CATCACCCACTTGGCCTCCATCCTTCTTATTCTGGAGTTGTGAAGGAGCTCTTCGAGTGAGTCTTTCAGGGATCCACAGGGGGTTTTCTTCCTCCTGTGGAAAAACACACACAGCTCCCCTGGATCTTATTAAAATAGGATCCGGGACTTTCCATTCATTAGTTAGCACATCTTTCCATTTTACAAATTCTTTTGGCCTATCAGGCTCTAAACTGTGGCGATCGGCCGCAGTGTGGCCTTGGGCATCAGAGTTCAAGAAATTAAGGGTAAAAAGTGCCATGGACACAGCAACTCTTGGTACCGAGGGTAGAACATCCTCAATACTCCCCTTTTGTTTAATCAGATATGATTTGAGTGTACGATGGGCACGTTCCACAATGCCCTGTCCTTGAGGGTTATAAGGTAGGCCAGTTAGATGGGTAACATCCATTTGCCGACAAAACTGTCGGAATTTTTGAGAGGTATATGCTGGTCCATTGTCTGTTTTTAAAATTCTGTGTTTTCCCCAAGCACTCCAGGCCTCAAGGCAATGTTGAATCACATATGAGGCCTTTTCCCCTGTTAGGGGTGTGGCAAACATTACGCCAGAACAGGTGTCAACAGAAACATGAACATATTGAAGCCTTCCAAAAGAGGGAATATGAGTAACATCCATCTGCCACATCTGCAATGGTCTAATGCCACGTGGGTTTATTCCCACGTGGGGAGCAGGTAAGAATTCGCAGCAATTCTGGCATTGAGTAACAATTTCCCTAGCCTCTTTCCTGGATAGAGCAAAACGACGGCGCAAGGTCTCAGCCGTCACATGAAAGCGCTGATGGAATTCTTTTGCTGCTTGTGCGTGGGTAGACAAGGCAGCGGCCACCAGCTTTGTAGCCTTGTCCGCTAAGTCATTCCCTAAGGACATGGGACCTGGGAGTCCAGAATGTGCTCGGACATGGGTAATGAAAACAGGAAATCTCCTATTTAACAAGGCAGCTTGTATCTTCTGAAAGATGTTAGCAACTCTGCTGGAGGATCTTATTATTCCAGCTATCTCAAGGAGATTAACTGCATTAACCACATAAGAGGAATCTGATACAATATTGAGGGGTCCTGGAAAAGCCTCAAGAACCTCCAGTACTATCAGACATTCTACAACTTGAGGTGAAGTTTCATTATATTGTTTAGATATAACCCTATCCTTGACCACATAAGCTCCCATACCAGTTTTCGATCCATCAGTGTACACCACAGTCCCATCTGGGAGTGGGTCTTTAGCTGTCACTTGTGGAAACACTATAGCCTGGTTTAGGGCAAACTGTAAAATTGGATTCTTCGGAAAATGATTATCAATTTGTCCTGAAAAGGAAGTAACTAAAACTGCCCAATCACTAGATGTGGCTGCCAAGGTCTGAACTTGTGCAGCAGTATAAGGCACTCGGATCCTTCTGCAGTAAAGCTTTAATACATCTTGAGAGATAGATGATCAGCTTCTGAGAGGGAGACCCCAAGCTAAGAAACCCAGCCCCTTATATAAGCCTAGGAGCTCCGAGTGAGACGTGTAGAGCCGGGATTGGTGGTTTGCTCATCACCCCAGATGACGGGTGAGGCACAGCTTAAACGGTAAACTCCAACTGACAGCAGATGTCAGCGCCATCTTCTAATGGCGATAGCGATAGTGAGGGCGGCTCCTCACACTCGCTGACTGTTCTTTTCCTTACAGAAGCTTCTCAGTTTCAGCAGGTCCCATTTATTAATTGTTGATCTCACTGTCTGTGCTAATGGTTTTATGTTCAGGAAGCTGTCTCCTGTACCAATTCTTTCAAGTGCACCACCCAATTTCTCTTCTAAGAGGTTCAGTGTGGTCTTTGATCCATTTGAACTTAAGTTTTGTGTATGTCGATAAACCTGGATCGATCCGCATTCTTCTACATGCCAGCCACTAGTTATGCCAGCACCATTTGTTGAAGATGCTTTCTGTATTCCATTGTATATTTTTAGCTTCTATGTCAAAGATCAGATGTTCATACGAGTGTGGGTTAATATCAGACTTTTCAATTCGATTCTAATTTTCTACCTGTCTATTTTTGTGCCAATACCAAGCTGTTTTCAGTACTGTAGCTCTATAATACAGCTTGAAGTCAGGGATGGTGATGCCTCCAGACGTTGCCTTGTTAAACAGGGTTGTTTTGGCTACCCTGGGTCTTTTGTTTTTCCATACAAAATTGATTAATGTTCTTTCAAGATCTGTGAAATATTGTGCTGGGATTTTAATGGGGATTACATTGAATCTGTAGATTGCTTTTGGCAGGATTGCCATTTTTACTGCAATGACCCTACCTCTCCAAGAGCATGGGAGATCTTTCCATTTTCTGAGGGCTTCTTTAATTTCTTTCTGTAAAGATTCAAAGTTCTTGCAATACAGGTCTTTCACTTGTTTGGTTAGCGTTACCCCAAGGTATTTTAAGTTGTTTGCGGCAATTGTAAAGGGTTATGTTTCTCTGATTTCTTTCTCAGCCCTTTTATCATCTGTATATACTAGGGCTACTGATTTTCTTGAGTTGAACTTGTAGCCTGCCACTTTGCTGAAGGTGTTAATCAGCTGTAAGTGTTCCCTGGTAGAGTTCTTTGGGTCATTTATGTAACCTATCATATCATCTGCAAACAGTGAATGTTTGACCTCTTCCTACCCAATTTGTTTCCCCTTGATCCCCTTTTGTTGTCGTATGGCAATGGATAGAACTTCAAGTCCAATGTTGAAAAGGTATGGAGAGGGTGGACAGCCTTGTCTTGCTCCTGATTTTAGAGGAATTGCGTTGAATTTCTGTCCATTTTGTTTGATGTTAGCTGTTAGTTTACTGTATACAATTTTTATTATGTTTAGGTATGTTCCTGCTATCCCAGATCTCTCCAAGACCTTTATCATGAAGTGGTGATGGAGTGTATCAAAGGCTTTTTCAGCATTAGTGAGATGATTATATTCTTTTTGTTTTTCAGCTTGTTTATATGATGGATTACGTTGATGGATTTTCATATGTTGAAACATCCCTTTATCCCTGGGATGAAACCTTCTTGATCGTGGTGAATGGTTGTTTTGATGTGCTCTTTGATCCTATTTGCCAATATTTCATTGAGTATTTTTACATCAATGTTCATGAGGGATATTGATCTTAAATTCTCTTTCTTAGTTGTGTTTTTGTATGGCTTGGGGATCAAGGTTATTGGAGCCTCATAGAAAGAGTTTGGCAAAGACCCTTCTGCTTCTATAGCATGGAATACTTTGAGAAGAATTGGTATAAGCTGTTCTTTGAATTTCTGGTAGAATTCTGCACTGAGGCCAACTGGACCTGAACTTTTTTTTTTGGTTGGGAGTCTTTTGATGACTTATTCTATTTACATAGGGTTTATAGGTCTATTTAAATTGCATATCTTTTCTTGATTTAATTTTGGCAAGTGATAGCTATCCAGGAAGTCATCCATTTCCTTTAAATTTTCAAATTTTTGGAGTACAGGTTTTCAAACTATGACCTGATGATTCTCTGAATTTCCTCAGAGTCTGTTGTTATATCCCCCTTTTAATTTGTGATTTTAATTTGCGTGTTCACTCTCTCCTGTTTGGTAAGTTTGGACAAAGGTTTGTCTATCTTGTTAAGTTCCTCAAAGAACCAACTCTTTGTTGCATTGATTTTTTATTGTTTTCCTAGTTTCTACTTCATTGATTTCAGCCCTCAATTTGATTATTTCCTGGCATCTACTCCTCCTGGGGGAGTTTGCTCCTTTGTGTTCTAGATGTTTCAGCTGTGTTGTTAATTCTCTAATGTAACTATTCTCCGGTTTCTTCATGTGGGCACTTAGTGCTATGAACTTCCCCCGTAGCACTGCTTTCAAAGTGTCCCATAAGTTTGGTTATGTTGTGTATTCATTCTCATTGAATTCTAGGATTTCTTTAATTTCTTTTTTTATTTCTTCTTTGAACCAGGATTGGTGCAATTGTGCATTATTCAATTTCCCCGAGTTTGTAGGTTTTCTGCAATTTGTGTTGTTCAATTCTAATTTTAAAGCATGGTGGTCTGATAAGATGCATGGAGTTATTCCAATTTTTTGATGATGCTGAGGTTGGATATGTTGCCAAGTATGGGGTCGATTTTTGAGAAGGTTCCAGGTGATGGTGAGAAGAAGGTATATTCTTTTTTATGTGGATGAAATGTTCTATAGATGTCTCTTAATCCCAGTTGGGTCATTATTTCTATTAGACCCTGCTCTTCTTTGTTGAGTTTCTGTCTGGTTTCCCTGTCTAGTGGTGAGAGTGGTGTGTTGAAATCTCCCACTATAAGTGTGTGGAGCGTCATATGTGATATAAGTTTTAGTATTGCTTCTTTTACGAATGTGGATGCCTTTGTATTTGGGGCATAGATGTTCAGGATAGACACTTCATCTAGGTGGATTTCACCTGTGATGAGTATGTAATGACCTCCTTCATCTTTTTTGATTGATTTCATTTTCAAGTCTAATTTGTTAGATATTAGGAGCTACCCCTGCTTGTTTCTTGGGTCCATTTGATTGGAAAATTGTTCCCAAACTTTAACTCTCAGGTAATGTCTTTCTTTGAGGGTGATGTGTGTTTCTTGTATGCAGCAGAAGAATGGGTTCTGTCTTCGAATTCATTCTGCTAGCCTGAGTCTTTTTATGGGTGAGTTAAGGCCATTAATGTTGAGGGATATTAATGACCATTGATTGTTCATACTTCTTCTATTTGCAATGGTAGTTGTTGTTGGAATTATGTGTGGAATTTCTCCCCTTTGTTCTTTTGGCTGTATATGTATATAATGAAATGTATATATTGGAGATATAAAATAATTTGGTGACTTGTCTGATAACAAGAAGCAATTAGATATTTCAGAAGATCATGGGGAACACAGATGAGTAGTGTACAAGGTAAAAGCAAGAATAAATGAGTATGACATGTAAAGTATCCTCTAGGGATTTCCTTGTGTGAAAAAAAAAACAAAGTTCTAGCATCAAAATAGTAGCAAACACAGAACTGTTGAAATAACTGCTACTGGTCCTGAGATGGCACTGTTGGTCCTCAGTGCCCCCTGCTGTTCTTTGGTGTCTCTACAGGGAGGTTTATATGCAGGATCACACTGGAGTTCCCTCACTGTGTTTCTAGCACAGTAATATATGGCTGTGTCCTCAGTTTTTAGATTATTCAGTTTGAAGAAAACTTGACTTTTGGAGGTGTCCCTGGTGATGCTGATTCGGGATTGGAGAGCTGAATTATAATAAGTATTTCCATTACTCCATATTTCTCCCATCCACTCCAGTCCCTTTCCTGGAGGCTGGCGGATCCAGCTTACAGCAATGCTACTTAATGAGATTCCAGAGACAGTGCAGGTGAGAGGCAGGGTCTCTGAGGGCTGCACCATGCTGGGTCCTGACTCCTTCAGCTGCACCTGGGACAGGACACCTGGGACAAACAATGTCACCATCAGTTATACATCCCATAATAACATTCTGGTGTCCCTCTCCTGAAACCCTTCACACTCACAGCTTGGGAAGGTCACCAGGCAGAGGAGCAGCACCAGGATATCCATGCTCTGTTGGAGGCTCCAGTGAGAAGGAGTTGGGGCTGCTCAGCTAGGCCTCAGATTTCAACCTGAGCCTGAGGCTGCTTTGCATTGGGGGAGGATCCTGAGAGGATAAAAGGAGGCACAGGGCAAGGTTTTCATTTTTTTCTGCAAGTGACTGATGTTTGTCTTGTGCTTCTGAGAGTATCTGGAAATGGAAACTAAAGAACATTCTCTTGGTCCAGGCTGGCTTTCCATGTATGGATAAACATAGAATTTTTTTAGTTGCAGTGTGCAGATTTTGCCAGTAACACCTGAGAATGTTTTTAGTAAATGAGTCCACATTAATTTAGTGTGGACAGAACAGCATACCATGTCCTTAACTCATTTGTGTAGCCCTAAAACTTCCAGTAGTGAATTCAAACGTCATTGGGCTCTTGATGATCAGAAATCCTGCATGAAGAAATACTTAGTGTTCTTTCTCTTCGTGTCTGTGGTGTTGTCTTATTTGTATGACTTGTAAAGAAATAACTCATGAGAAACCAGCTAACAACCATTTAGTACATGTGACTTCACATGTCTAGCTTATAGGAGATCCATGGGAGTGAGTTGTGTACATCTTAGTAGTTTCTGATTTTACCTTCTCACTTAGGAACACCCCACCAAGAGTCTAGTTTTTTTATTTTTAAATTTAAATAAGAAACAAGGTTGCTTCACATGTCAATCTAGTTTTAATTCCTCTTGATTTGTGTCAGTCTATCTGTCTTGATGTACTGCTTTATCTCTCATTGTCTCTCTCCTTAGCTTATAACACACAAACATCCAAGCTCCTAAATATGATTATTGCATTGGTGAGAAATTGAATGTCACATGTTTATAACATTTCATAAAAAGTAATAGTGACGTGGCTTGAAGGTTATGTAAAGTAAAATATTAAAAAGGTTGAGATACCTAAGTGAATAGAGGAAGTGGAAATGGGAACATGTTTGAATATGGGGATCCTGTACCTTGAAGTGAGGATCTCCATGCAGAACAAGTGTTTATAGGGATTTCTCCAGGTATTGTTAATGTAAATCACCAGGGAAGGGATTTCTTGGGATTGGAGACTTCATATTTAGCATCACTTATTTATTTGTGCATATTTTTACTGTGAGTGTCATGGTGACACTGGTCTTAACATTACAGTCAACTGTCCTGTCAAAGTTTTGATGGTCACCCACACTATGAGTGTTCTTTCCCTTGTTCACAACCCTGTGTATCAAAATAATATTTTTCTAACATTATACTCAGTGTGTCTCATCTTAGGATTATCTGAAATTTTCATTGTGATTATAAAAATTTGGGAAGAATTATTACAGAAAAAAGCTCATTTCTCATACTATATGGAGGATCTTGGTATAAATCCCCATGTTGAATATTTTTTGTCTTTGGTTATCTCAGTAGTGTTTGTATCCATATGCTGTACCATCTTGCTTCTTGGGTTTTAGCTTCTCCTAGAAGCTCTATAGAAGGAAATCTCTAGGATAAAGTCACTAACAAAGAAAATGAGCTTATGATCATTCCACTCATTATTTATAATTATCTTCTCTTTTGGTTTCTCTTCAGATTGTATAAATCTTTCGCCTTTTATAATTATCTTCTTTTGTGAGATGGATCCTTATCTTTTAATTCTTTGTTCAGTTATTTGTTTACTTTTGTCTGATGGACACATAGATACTCACTTAATGGGTCATGTTGTGATGACAGTATCAGCCTATCCATTCGTGTGGTGATTAGAAATCTGTCAACATATTGCAAGCTATGTTCATCAGGGAACAAGTAACTTCAGTTGGAAAAAAATGCCTTCATTAGTTTGGTCTGCAGGCAAGACGCAGGGGCCCTTTCTTGATTAATGATTAATTGGTGATGGGGGCACAGGCAGATATGGAAGGTGCTGTCCATAGCCAGGTATTTCTGGTTTGTGTATGAAAGCATGCCGAACAACCATGGAGAGCAAGCTGGTTAACAGAATTTGTTTGCAATCTCTGATTTAGTTCCCACTTTTGTGCTCCTTCCTTTATTTCATGATCTGATATGTTTCCATATGATCTGTTACAGTCAAGATAATATAAATACTTTCCTTCTCACATTGATTTTGGTCATGGTTTTGATCAAATCCAAAGATAATAATCTAGAATAAAAATTCTTCTGAGAGGACATATGCATTAAAAATTATACAGCCACACATCCAAACATATACACATACACACACACACAGACCAAGAGAGAGAGAGAGAGAGAGAGAGAGAGATTGAAAGAGAGAGACAGATCTTATCTGTTTGATTGAGCAGCCCACACTGCTTGGCCTGGACACACTATGAAGACCAAGCTGATACTGAACTGCGAAAGTCTTTTGCCACTAAATCCTTTGTTACTGGATTAAATTTGTGAACCACCTTTCATATAATATAGTATGATGATTATTTCTTTTCCAATTCCTTTCTCTCTCCCATGTTGCCCAATTCCATAACCAGCAGAATTTTAAGGACATTGGTCTCATAGCATTCATTTTTATTTAGGCAACAAATGGTTTAAAATTCTTAATTATCAATACAATTTATACTTAAAATTATTTCACAGTGCATATATTTATTTTTTTAGATTACAATATCAATGCACACAACATGTGATAAAATCCACAGATGAGGCATTGGCTCAGAGGTCAGGTTCCTGTCTCCCCATATGATTGTCTCAGTTTGATCCTCTAACTTAGCTTTGAAACTGTAAATGACAGTTTGTACTATTTTCCCAGCACTGGGGTGGAGGTAACAGGAACCTCTCTGGGACTTGTCATCCAACCATTCTATCTGAACATGTGAGCTCCAGGTTCAATGTGAGAACCTATCTCAAAAGCTAAGGTACAGGTCATTTGAAGAATACAATCAGAATCACCTTGTGGCTTCCAAAGGCCTGTGCAAGCACAAACATATTCACACGTAGTACCAGCCTTTCCAAGCATTCAAACATTTCCCTTTTCCTGCATTGAACTCATGGTTTCAGTTATTTAGACTGTGTCATGATTATTGGGTTTTGGAGCTGTGTCAAGCCACAGACCTTGGATTAGCTATTTGTTATGTTACTCTGAAACCTAACTCTTGTGATGCACTGTGAACCTGTTCCCCCTTCACTGCATCCCATCTGCCCTTCCTAGTCTAGGGACTGACAGTCCATCATTAGATCAAATCCTTTAAGTCTACTTCATGTGAGAAATGTTATTTTTCAGCATGCATTGCTGGTGTTTTCTTTTAATTGGGCTTGATTCTTAACCTTAATACCTTGCATATGATAGACAAGCACGCGACTACAGATCTATATGCATAGTACTCCTACCATTAAAAATATCACCTTTTGTTCTACAGAAAATAATGCTTTGATGACAGCATTGACTCATCCAATCCTCAAATAAACACTGGCTACCCCAAGTTCCTCTTCTTTGTGCATAGCAATTGTGACTAATTGTAACACACCATAGAAAAAGGATCAATGTTCTGAGTATCAATCCCAAGAAGGTAGCAATAGGGAGTGTCAGCTAGGATGCAAATGAGGCCTTGTCAGATAGTGAGAGCTCTACCTGTTAGACTGGAAAAGACTCCTCACAGACTAAGTAATTTTCAAAAGTTATTTGGGACATATGTTATATTCTAACAGAAAATAAACCTCAATTTCGACAATTAAAAAAGGATAGTTTATAATCTTTTGAGTGATTTTCAGAAATTGTTGGGAAATAGTCAATGGTTATGTCCTTTTTTAAAGTGTTTTACTGGTGACTTAAAACCCTTAACTGAGATTCTAAAAGAAAATAGTGATCCCAATTCACCTGGACAGTTGACTAAAGAAGGTAACAAGGCTTAGTGTTAGAAAGTATAGTCTGGCATCAGCAGATATTATATTAACAATACAAAACCATGGGAAGCTTATGCTGTTTCCCTAGCCAAAGAGTTAAATCCTTATTTAAGCAGTATCCTGTAAGGTGCTGAAATAGCATATGGAACCTGGGAGATATTTTGACAGAGAACAAAGTATAATAATGTGCCAGGTTTATGGATTCCCAGAGGCTAACTCAAGGAGTTGACACTTCTGATGCAGAGGAAAAAGATTTCATTAATTCAGGCTTATCAGATTGGATTTCTTTCCATGACGGATGAGATGAGATGTCCACCAGGAAAAAATAATGGGGGGATGTTTAAAAAAGGGACACAAGTTTCAGTTTCCATGGTTACTAGGGTCATACACGATCTGGAGTAAAATAGTAACTATATGTTTTGGGGTAGATGTATCTGAGTAAAATAAGATAAGGCTTACAGAGTTATTGAGATTACCAGGGTCTGTCAGTTAGTCCCTGGGCCAGAGAATATGCATAGGACTTTTATGACTTACAATTAGCAAAGGAATATTAACAGGAGTTGTGGACAGCTGCCTCCCCTTCTCTCAGAGCAGGGGCTCAGGCACCCTTGATTTAAGGAGTTAAATCTTCCTTATCATTACGAAGTTGCCTCTCTCTGTATAGATTTAGGGCTCAAGTTTTTAAACTTTTAATTTTATTTACATATACCAAGCAACATGTTGATTGTTTCAGAACTGTGATTTGTGGAAAACTGCTTTGCTCAATTTTTCAAGGAGAATTGATAATCAGTTTACAGCTCATAGGCTGTTACAGTTTGAGCTAATACATCCTTTATGTTCTCTCAGTCTTCTGCTTTGCCTTTCTGGCACTAAACATTTAACCGATCTTGTGCTCTGTTTTACCAGATCTATGGTTCCAATTCCTAAGAATTTGACATTAACCTCTTGAAGGGGCCATCGTCGAGGCCAAGAATTTTAAGTTATGATAGGCACATCATAACCTGTGTAATGTAGTTCCTCACTCAAACTGTTTTTCATTTGTACTCTTTATTTAGGAATTTGAGCATTTAATTCATTTTCTATGGCTAATTTATAATCTAGAGTGGCATGACGTTTTACAAAAGGCACTGGATTTTCTAATCATCCTGAGGAGGATTGTCCTCCACAGTGATT